CCCCAAAACCCCAAAACCCCAAAACCCCTGATCACTATGGCTTAGTTGAATAAATTTTATATTAAAATCGATAAATATTAAATTAAAAGAGCTCTTTAGTGAACTATCTAATAGGTTAGACAAAAATAGCATTTAACTTTTGGCTTATGACCAAGAATGTTATTGAAGGATAATATTTGAGTACCAAATCCCCAGTGTGATGAGCTTCAAAATCCTTCGCACATGGAAGCTGGTTCAGGATTTTATGACATTATTCTATGCAAACATAAGGACAGACTGATAACTTGTGCGGAGTTCAACACAAGGTTGAATCCTTGCATGAAACTTGCAACACCGACACAGAGGATGCAGGCATAAATCTATTAGAGTTGAATAAACTTATATCTAAGGAAATCCATATTTTGCCAGGAGCTCTCCACAAACTTCAGAGGAATGAGCTGCACTTATAATGGTCATTGACTCAAGGCTTTGCTTAAGATCAGGGGACTTGGCTAATCCTGAAACAATGCTTTCTAGTTTATTGAGACTTTCATCTTCATTATCCTGGTTTGAATCATCGAGGATCGAAAATGTTAAATTTTTGAGAGTTGTTCCTCTGAATCATTCTGAAAAGTCAGCATCACTTGGAAGAGAGAATGTAGAACCAAGTATCCCTAAAGTATTGCAATGCTTGCTCGATATAAACAGCCTCTTCAATTGCTTTTCGCTGATGCTAGAGACTGAGAAGTGAGGCTTACTTTAATAAATGTTGAAATAAAAGTTTCTTGGATTTACCTACAGAAGGTCCTAGAAGTATATTGAAATGTCTAAGGTTCTTCATCCCCTTCATTTCAATTATATGAAACCTCCTAGTAGCAGTTGGAGTAGATTTAGCAACAAAGTTTCTGAAATGTTTATTTCCAAAGTTTGAATAAACCAAGTTGATGGAATCCATCGCAGGCATCTTTATCTTGGGAATTGCTTGAATGAATTTCGAGTCTCTAGAGCAGCTCAATATCCTTTAGTTTACCTATATTCATCGGGAAAGATGTCCATTTTTGTTGGTGCCCCTCTTTTATACTTACCCCTAACCATTCCATAATAAACAACCTCGAATAACTGAGTATTGATCTCTTTGGATTCTTGTTCAATCTGTTCCTCTGCTCTAAACAACCACGAATGATACTGTGTGACACACAATTAGAGATTTGATGTAACTAGAGCATAAGAATGGGTAAAAGAGTATTCAACAGAGGGATATTGCATTTCCTTTAGCCTATAACTCTTCTATGTCCCCATGGATGTAATCTTGCTAGTGGTCTCAGATGATGAACCACTTTTATTCACTTTTGAAGCCATTAATGTTCTAGTCTAAGAATCATTGACTTACTTGTTAGATTTCTAATTATCTCATCCAAACGTCGAACAAAGGTTCTTGGAATACAATGGGATTTATAAAATTTTGGACATTTCCCAAGTTATTTGGGAATACTTCTTAAGATTTATAAGACATCACTATTGCCTCTGTTTTATAGGAAAGCTACACTTGGGACTTCACCATACAGAATTCATGTCAAATTGTTGCAAATATGAATGAAATTGTGTTAAGCTGAGAAGGCCTAATGGCTAAAAGCCGCTAAAGGTAGACTGACTTAAATCCTCAGTTAGAAGTTGCAGTGTCGTTTGTGTCAATAACTAAAGGATTTTACCATCACTGAGTATATATGGTTGGATAAAATTGCTAAGAATAGGCTATTAGGCTTTGGAAATTAACTTGAAAATGTAAAGGCCCATCTATCCTTCATCTTAGAAGATCCAAATTAGGTTTACAATTGGTATCTTACCTTCTAATCCCTGCCAGTTCCTTGCTCATTTGATCTACATTGGAGGTGATTAAACATGAAAATGCTTTAGCTGATCTAAGATTGAGATTTAATAATATGTATTCTCATAAGCTAAATACAGCTACAGCGGCGCTAATCTTTAGATTTATGCATAAATCTACTTGAGAGGAATTAGAAAGATTCTCGCATTCCTTTGCTATAGCACAACTTCCTTGTAAGCCTTCTTGCTTTAAACGGGAGATATCCTTAATACAGACCTTTGAGGTACTCCCTGGGGCTTTGGAAGTGCCAAATATAGGCATCTTAAAAGCAAGCCAGGCAAAATAACAAATGTTGAAGGTATTTTACCACAATTCCTTACCTTGAGAGTCAATACTGCTGGTTTGCGTTCTCGTTGGCTCTTGAGACTCCATTTGTGGGGGTTTCAATTAATATTATTACCCTGGGGTTTTGGGGTTTTGGGGTTTTGGGGTTTTGGGG